GAGAGAGAGAGAGAGAGAGAGAGAGAGAGAGAGAGAGAGAGAGAGAAGCTCTTGAAAAATAAAGATAACACCAAGGAACTGAAACACAAATATTATAGCACTTTCCTCACTGGACAAACTTCAGCATAAGTGTTAACATAAAAAGTAAGCCAAGACACTTCCTGTAAGGGTTATGAAATTAGTATTATTATAAATACATTACTCAGAGGAGAACTTCCTAAAGAAGTAAGTATGTTTGAAAAAAATTTTTGGACGTACTTTTGTTGTTTGACTAAATGTTCTGGCTGAAGTGCAATATAATGGAAAAGATCTTGTTATATTTTAAATACAACTGATATCTGTGTGCAAATATCAAGTTAAAACGTCTGTCAAAAATTTATTAAACCTTTAGATACTAGAAGCAGAAATGTGCTATCAAGTATCAGTATAACTCAAAATGAAGAATTCCCAAAATAACACAACTGAAATCTGTTGATTTTGTTTTCCATGTAGTATAACACCCATGATGCAATAATTTTTAAAAAATAAAAAATAATATTAATAACATCAGTATTTTTTCAGTAGTGAAATGCAAGGGGATGACAATGTGGCAGATTTTCAAATAAATTTGAATGAATGAATCAGTAGTTCTGTCTAATCTTCTTTATTATGGTGTAGTGCACTGTGGTCTTTGCACAAATAAATTATTTGGTCTTTTTATTAAATTTATTCAGGGTTTGGATATAATCTAAAGTAGTATTTGACATAATTTCATTTTCTGGACTGGAAACACACAACTGCCTATACCAAGCAGCAATCAGGATGGACAAAAAGGTTCAGGAACTGAAACTATGACTGAGGCCATCAACTGTTTTGATGGTAGTGTGGTAACTGTAGCCATACAATCAATTATTTTGTACTATTTGCTTAACCATCACTGAAAAACTGTTAGCAAAATGGACAGCAGCCATGTATAAATTTCTTCCTGTGGGAGTTAAGCATCCTGCCCTGCTTAGGGCAGGATATAGGACAAGGGAGAAGAGGGAAAGCAAAGGAAAGATGAAAAAATATATAAGATAAAAAATATACTTGATACAGTAAAATTATGGATCACCATTTATTAGAGGAAAACAGATCTGTTAAAACTATCAGAGGTAGATTGGTACATTCTGAGTAAACAAGAGGCAGAGATACCAATAATACACGCTTTAACCAGACCATTATTATAATAAAATGAAAATCTGAAAAGATCAGGTTCCTGCTTGTAGAAGAATGTAGCATGGCCACAAAGAAGATAAAAGAAATAGGCTGGGCGCAGTGGTACACGCCTGTAATCTCAGCAGTTTGGGAGATTTGAAGCAGGAGGATTATGAGTTCAAAGCCAGCCTCAGCAACTTAGTGAGGCCCTGAGCAACTCAGAAAGACCCTGACTCAAAATACAAAATAAAAATCAGCTGTGGATGTGGCTCAGAGGTTAAGTGCTCCTAGGTTCAATCTCTAATATACAAAACAAAAAACAACAAATACACAAAAATTCAGGTGCCTAAGTGGGAAAGGATAAGTTGTTGCTAGGAAAGAGTTAGAGGTATTGCTGGAAACTCTTAAGAAAATAAAGTATTGCATGTTACAAGGAATGGCCATTAGAATGAAAATGAAAAAAATTCTCTCAATTCTAAATACATAATTCTAAGTACAAAGTTCAATGTAGTCGAACAATATGATTAGGGCTGAAGTTGATCAACAGTTAATCTGAAATCCTCCATCTTCAAAAAGTTATTTCCTCTAGTCTTTAACATTTGTTTTCTTTCAGAATTTCAAGGACTTGTTGCTTTCAGTGATTATTCTTATTATAGAAATACTTTGTAATCACCAATCTATTTATAGAATTAATTAGTCATATTCTAAAATCTCTATGATCTAATTACTAAATAATAAAATTTAATAAATATTAAATTATGAATATTAAATAATAATTGAAATATTAATTATTTAAGGGAGGCTTAAGTAAGTTTGGATATGGGGAAAAAATGGAACTTTTGGACTTTTGCCCATTTTCATTTGTTACCAGGCATCCCTAAAGCCCTTCCATGGTTCTAACCTCTTAAATCCTGCTGTGTTCGTGCACCACCCATACTCTGTCTTGGCATTCGAAGAGAAGTTCTCAAAGGTGTATGTCTCTGCTCATCCAAGTATGCAAGATCCTCCAAGTGGGCAGAGCTGGTGGCTGACAAGAAAGAAAAATTTAGTTAAAATATGTAAGTTAAAATATGAAAATTCCTTTACCTACTCTATATCTTCCAAACCTTATAATCTTAATTTGTAAATTCACTCCAACACAAATGACTATGTGTGGAGCCAGCCTCAGTGGCACACACCCAGCAACTGGGAGACTGAGGCAGGAGGATTACAAGTTCAAAGCTAGTCTGAGCAACTTAGCAAGGCCCAGAGAAATTCAGCAAGACCCTGTCTCTAAATAAAATATGAATAAGGGAATGGAGATGTGGCTCAGTGGTTTACTGTCCTGGGTTCAATCCCCAGTACCGTACCAAACCAAACCCAAACTACATATGTTTAATATATAATATGCACACATTTTATGCCATTAAAAAGCTAACTACATTTTTTTAAACTTGTGCTTTCATTTTGATTGCAGCTTTAAGACAGAACATCACAAGTCTGTATTTGCTAAGAAGTTCTATAACCTTAAAAAGAGGAATATAATATTTCTTATTCAAATAGCAAACAGAAACAAACAAACTAGATAAACATAAAAATCTCATTTTATTAAGTTGTATACAATGGTAAAAACTATTTGATTTAAAGTGAAAAATAAATAAAATGCCAGTCCAAGAACTTGAAATGTCATTGTGCTTCTGAATGCCTGCCTAATCATAAAAGCTACATCAAAATGGAAGTTTCGTTGTTATTGAAATAGTAAACATGTTTCTCCTGAAAATTAACAGTGAAATGAAAAATTCACTTTACATGAATGTCTCAAATTTCAATAAATACTTGAGTATCTGTGTTTTTTCCTTGAAAATATTAGTTACCATCTTCTCATTATTGATGACTTATCTTTTTATGGTTGCTGCCCTCAAATGTTTTGCCATCAAATTCCTAGAGAGTACTTTTGTAAGTAAGAAACTGCATCATATGTTGAGAGTTATAGAAAATGACATGGTGCTTTGCTTTGTAGATTTTATAATCCACTTTTACCACCTATGACATATATTATTTTACCTATAGCTGATTATAAATGAGCTCTTTATAAAAATTAAGAAGAGGAAAAGGAAACAGCCTAGAATTCTCTCAATGTAAGGAAACAAGCATGATGACAGTAAGTAAAGTTATTCCATACACTCACAAATAAGTTGTTAATGGTGATTGACCTTGGGAGATGACATTCATTCATTAACTTTCTCATTCATTTATTCACTCAATAAATATAACAAAATTGTTAGTGAAAAATGTCAGGACTGTATCAGAACAATACTTTCCCAAGGGTTTTTTGTTTGTTTGTTTTTTGTATTAGAGATTGAACCCAAGGCCTCTTAACCACTGAGCCACATCCCCAGACTGTTTTATTTTTTATTTTGAGATAGACTCAGTAAGTTGCTAAAGGCTTTGTTAAGTTGCTGAGGCTGGCTTTGATCCTCCTGCCTCAGTCTCCTAAGCCACTGGGATTACAGGTGTGCATCACTGTGCCTGGCTCCCCATGGTTTGTTGTTTTAACTTTTTTTTTAATAGTTGTAAATGGATAGCATGACATTTATTTATTTTTTTATGTTGTGCTGAGTTCCAAGCACTAAAATAAAAACAACATCACCTCCCCTGGCCCTAAAGCCTAAAATGTTTTATTTATTTATTTTTTAATAAGAAAATAAAGACTTATAGGATACTTTTTAAGCTAATAAACTGCAGAGTAATTTATTTGAAAGAAGGTTAATGAGACTCTTCTATTCACATTTTAATATTCAAATAAAATCTTAAAAGCTAGAACTAGATAAGGATACAAACTTCTACCACTTTTATCCAATGTATTACTGGAAGTCCTAGCCATAGCAATCAGGCAAGAAAAAGAATTAAAGGGCATCCAAATTTGAAATGAAAAAGTTAAACTCTTGCTGTTTATAGATGACATGATGTTTTATACAAAAAATCTCTTCAAGATTCTACTTAAAAACATTAGCAAATAAGCAAATTCTGCAAAGTTGCAGGATATATTATCAATGTTAAAAATCAGTTATGTTTCCATATACCAATAGTGAATTATCTAAAAAAGAAATAAAGAAAGCAATCCCATTTGCAATAGCCTCAAAAATCAATCAATCATTTAACCAGGAAGATGAAATACATTTAACCAGGAAGATGAAACAGCTCTACAATGGAAATAATAAAAATACCAATGAAAGAAATTAAAGGCAATATGTACACACAAAATGGAAAAATATCCTGTGCTCATAGTTGGAAGAATCAATAATATTAAAAGTCAATACCACCCAAAATAGTCTCTAGTCAATGAAATCTCTATCAAAATGCCAATGATATACTTCAGAGAATCAGAAAAAAGAAGATGCTAAAATTTGTACGGCAACACAAAAGATCCTGAATAGCCAAAGTAATCTTGAGCAAAAGGAACAAAGCAGGAAGCATTATACTAGCTGACATAAAATATACTACACAAAGCTGCAGGAATCAACACAACATGGTGTTGGCATAAAAAGACACACATACCAGTGGAATAGAATAGAAAGCCCAGAAATAAAACTATATATTGGTTGCCATCCGATCTTCAATAAAAGGGCTGAAAACTCACAATGGGGAAAGGATGGTCTCTTCAATAAATGGTGCTGGGAAAGGCAAATATCTATATGCAAAAGAATGAAATTAGATGCTTACTAGGAAAAAAATTGGAGGAAACCCTTTCTGCCATGGAATGTATAAGGAATTAAAAAAAAAAACCAAAAGCAATGGAAACAAAAGCAAAAAGAGACAAATGGGATTACATTAACCTCTTCCTCACAGTCATCCGAATCTTCTCTATTTTCAAGTATTTTCTCAGAAAAGTTCTTTGTTATATTTTATCAATCTTATTCTACCCTTTGTAAAAACTTTGCTTGGGCTATACCTTTCTCTGCTTTCCTGGTTCATCTCCCAAACAAATTAATTGCTTTTTCCTTTCAGCAACCATATGTATATTGCTGTTTAGAACTACTATTTAGTTTTGTTTACATGATTGTCTTTCCTCATTAATTGCAATAGGTCTTGAGGGCAAGAGTCAACATTTAATTAATCTTTGATCAACTTTACCCTTCAGAGTAAATCAGAGTGTCCTGCACATAATGCTCACTATAGAAATGAATTCTAGACTACTACCTAGATTTAGTAATCTGCCTGGCCTCATTCTCATTGCTTTATTTTCTATGTAATAGACATCACTGCAATAATATGCTTAGCTTAATGATGTTCACAATACCTTCCTTCAGACATTGCTGATCTTACTTTACCTTTGTCCACAGCATATATCATTATCTATTATACTTTATAAATTACTTATGTTATTTTACTTCCTCTAAGGAAAATGCAAAGCTGCAAAATTGTGGGAATCTTTGTTCTGTTACTTAATGATACTTAAGCACTTTGAACAGTACCTGGCATATAATGCATGCTCAATATATACTTGTTTATAATTGAATCTCATATTATACATAAACTTTATGTATCAGCTACATTTAAACAATCAATGAACAACAAATTAATTTTTATAGGGTAATTCTGAAGGAGGTGGCTATAGCAACAATTCCTTGAACATCATCATCCTATACATCTAGACCAATGACAGCTCTATAAGGACACATCTATTTCTATGGCATAGTGCCATTCTTACTGTGAAACTGTAGTGCAATTTTGGGAGACAATTCCATTAGATTAAATTAATACTGTAACATTTAGTGAATGCTTACCAGATGTAAGTATAAGAGATAATTAGGTGAGTTTGAGTGAATTTTAGAAACAGAAAACAAATCTACAATAAAAATTTTATATAAAAGGAAAAAGCTTTAAAAAGTAAATTCACAAAATCTTCCTTGCTTTAGATGAGGAAGTGGGAAGAGGGAAGGAAGGCGATTTTTATCAGATTGGAACAGCTGAGATTCACTTGGTCATAGAACATTTAACTGATATACTTTTTAAAAAAGTTAAGATATTTAAATGTACTGTGAGTGAGCAGAAAAAAATCCAGCAGAAAACATTTGGCATAAAAAATTTCAGAGACAACTCTATATTGAGTTTGGAAGTCAGTTTGAATTATTTCTTATATCAATTGCAACTAATACAAATAGATACGGTAACCCAATTATTATTCTGGCTGACCTAAGCAGGGAGCCTAGACTGACACTTCTGTTTGCTACTTCCTGGGTGAGAAGCCATTCTGCTATCCTTATACCTTTGATATATAAAGCCAACATTCTGATTGAAAGCCCATTTGTAAATTTTTTTTTTGTAAAATCTGCATTATAGTTAGACTCATTTAAATCCCTCTAAATTCCCATTCTGCATTTACCTGATTCTTAATATTCTCAGGAAAATGTACAGCTCCAAGCAATAACAAGTAGATGGTGACAGTTTATATTTTAACTGACTTTTTGTTGTCTGTGTGAATTCCCTGATAGACCCCTCATTCTTACATAAAGCACTGAGGACAGCTGTTGCAAGCAAACATTTCCTGTTTCCCACATCCCTCCAAGTCATTGCCAATCTCATTTTAAGATATCACGAATGACCATACAGGCTACTCTGATAATTTCTGCATGCAACCACAATGCCACAATGGTCTACTTCTTTCCAACTCATAGGCTCAAAAAAAAAAAAAAGGCAACCCATAATTTAAACTTTTCATAATTTAGAATTTTATTTTAAAGGTGTATGAACATTTAAGTTTATATTCAGAAAATTGAACTACTCTGAGAAAAACCGAAGTTCTAATGCTGCAGACTGCCAAAACTCAGCCTCAATGACTTCATTATTCAAATGAAAAAGTTTTTGTTTTCAGTAAAATGTACTATCCTCTCACGTGGAACATGAAACTTTCAATTGGTACATCTAACTAAAGAATTTTTGAGAATCTAACAGTATATAGCTAAATCTATTGAAGCAATATATTTATACTTATATTATCAAACCTCTGTTTTAATGAAGTTAATAAAATATAATTATTTTAAGAAT